AAAAAATATTTTTTGTCAGATTCATTGATTCATCGAAAAAAATCATCGATTTTTTAAATAATCGTTAGTTGCAGCCCTAGAATAGATAAACACCTGCAGGTTCTGGGCCCACCGGGATTAAGGGGGTTTCAAAACGTCAGAATCAGATTCCAACAGTGTAGATGAACCAGCTAAATGTTTTATTCTTACCCAATCCACAAAGAGTTTGGTTTCTATCCGTGGCATATCACTGGTGGTCCTCAGCATGAGCTCAAACACAGCAATAAGGGCCTCCTCATACTCCCTGAAGTCTGGCTCAAACTTGATGTCAGTGTCCTCTAAGATCAGATGTACAACAAAGCCTGACGTCTTTCTGGATCTGTCTGAGTGCTGATCGATGGAAGGGAAGAACCAATCAAATAAAACCAAAATGAAAACAACATCCATCACTCCAGTTTGGTCCATTGTTTCACATTAAACCCGCCCTCCTACCATATCCTTAGAAATGAGACTTGTGTAGTCGCTTAGTGAGCTGAGAGTAAGTTTCTGCAGCTGCAGAGTCATCAGAGTTGCTGCACAGTTGAAGAAAGACTCCAGTTGACCCGTCTTTATGAGTGAAGGCAGCTGGCAGGGCAAGCCACCCTCATCGAAAATGTACTTCACATCAAGAAACCAACTAAAACAGAAAAAAGATAAATTGATTAAAATATGCATGAGACATGCTGACCTGTTAAAGCAAAGTAGGATCTGGGGAGAAATGCAGAATAAACAAGCATGCATGAAAGAAACCATAAAAAAGAGACATAACTGATTTTACGTTGAATAATTTCAGAGTAAGCAGCAACGGTTTTCTATACAAGAGATAAACACTTTAAATAGGCTGTATTTTATAAATATGATATGATGTTTATCTTTTTGTTTTGTCCCAGTTATTATACGTTTTGTCAAACATTGGATGCTTACGTATCGAGGAGGACGTTTTTATGGAGCTCCATCTGTTCGGTGATAATCTGCTGAAACTCAGAAAGCTCAAAGCACTTCTCTCTGCCGTGGAAGAACGCCACATCAATCAGACGAACGTCTCTGAAAGGAGGTTTTCATTAAAGTTTGGTTACATGGAGTCTTCTGCCATGATCAGCAGAGGATGTGGCATCCTTAGGGCTGATGGGGCCAGAGTCAAGAATATCTCTTCATCTTGCACCATTGAGTTCATTTACAGAAGAAGTTGTTTTTTTATGTGTTGCAGATAATTTCATAAATCATTTAATACATTTTTGTTGTAACATACTTGTAAGATTCATGCCACAGAAGCATAATTTGCTGCAGAAACCAGCTGATGCAGTGAAGATTTTGGCTCATCCACTTTCTGGCCTGGACAAATGATCCGTTCCACGGCTTGGGCAGGACTTCCAGTCTGAAAGAAGAATAGCAGCCTTTTAATGTTCTCTTGAACCTCCAAAAGCATTTAAAGACAATTACAAGGTCGGCTTTCTATCACCTGAAGAACATTTCCAGGATTACAGGACTAATGTCTCAGCATGATCTAGAAAAACTAATCCATGCGTTTGTTTTTAGTCGAATTTATTACTGCAACGGTGTTATCACAGGTCTGCCTAAAAAGTGGATCAGACAGCTGC